TATATATATATATATATATATATATATATATATATATATATATATATTGTTGGATTTCTTTATTTGGATTATTGAGCATGAACTTTAATGACAGGAAGAACAACCTTCACATCACATCAATGTGAAGAAGATAAAGGGGATGGTTGTGGATTTCAGATGGAGCAAACACACCTACCTGGAAAATATGCAGTGGAAGTGGTCTCCGGCTACAAGTACTTGAGTGTACACCTGAACAACAGCCTCAGCTGGAGCAACAACACCACCAGCCTGATCAAGAAAGCTCATCAGAGACTCTACTTCCTCAGGCGGCTGAAATGAGCTGGTCTGGGAAGCTCAGTCCTCACCTCCTTCTACAGGTGTGCAGTGGAGAGCATCCTGTGCTCCAGCATCAACGTGTGGTGAAGGTTGCACAGAAGATGTTGGAGTCAGTCTCCCCCCCATCACAGACATCTACACCTCTAGATGCAGGAAGAGGGACACCTGCATCATGAAGGACTCCACTCATCCAGCACACACTTTTTGCCCCGCCCCCCTCAGGAAGGAGGTTGAGGAGCATTAAGTGTAGAACCACTAAACTGAGGAACAGCTTCTACCCTGAGGCTGTTAGACTCATGAATCTCCAACCAGGATAATCACTGTGATGACACTGTAATTGGTGATGTGTGACTTATCTGTGCTGCTGATTATCCACGCTGCTGATTATGTCATGTTGCTGATTATCTCATGCTGCTGTCTTCATTCGTACCCATCTGCTCACCACAGACTCATGTTCAGGCTGCTGTTGTTACGTTGTATTACTTTACATTATTAGTGTTTAGCATATATGTTTTTAGTATTTTACATTGCTTTATAATGTTGCTGTTTTTTTTAACATCTTCTATTCACTTTTTCCCCAATCTATTTGCCTTCTTTTAAAATTGTCGGCTGTTGTCATCACTCTAAAACAGGTCTCTCTTGTAAATGAGTCCTCGAGGCTCAATGAGACTAACCTGTATAAATAAAGGTTGAATGAATTGAATATCTTAGATCTTTTAGCATACCGTTTGGTGTTTGTTTAGTGTATATCTTAGTGTATATCTTAGATCCTTGTATACTGTTTCTTTTTTATACTTAATATTTTTGCTATTTTTGGGTGTAACTGGGTCACGGAGTACATAATTTCGTTCCACCTCATGTACCACATGTGATGCGAATGACAATAAACTTGCCTTGAACTTGAAAAATTAAGCTAGTTTGTTGGATATTCATTTGTGACTTATTTAGATTTTTAAGGACCTTTAACAACCTTCATTTACTTCAGTTTTCTTTATTTTTTAATCAAAAGCAAAGCTTTTACTTCTTATTCTTACTGCTATCAAAATGATTTGCCATATTTTTGCAGACATCCTCATTTCAATGACTTGTAATCTGTAATATGTTTACAAACTGTATTTTCTGTTACCTTTGCCAGCAACTTGCTCTCAAGTTATTCCAAGCACTTTAGAGTTGGGGGAAAAATCCATCATATTGTGCACATTAGAATGAATTTAGACCTGGTTAAAGTTCATTTGTGTCCACATTTAGTCCATTTCTGTGTGTGGCTTCATTTGTCTCTCGTCAAAGCTTGTTTTTTTATTAGACATATTGTCCCATAAGACATGTTTGGGTAAGAAGGTGTCTAAATCAAGGACAGCAATCTGTTTTTGCTCCTTTGGAATATTTATTTTTTTGTAAATAAAGTTTACAGCTGAGAATGAATAGTGCTTTTGTGTCTGCTGCTTCCCTGACCTTCATGGCAAACACAGTTTTACCACTTTCATCTGTTTTTTTTTTACTCGTTAGTCATAGTCCTGCTCACTGTTTGATGTGTAAATCAGAAAGGGAGCTGGTTCAACTGCTCAGCTGCCAAGACTGTAAAAATTCTCCTCCGAGCTCAGGACTGAACTCGGGAAGGAACAGAGAAATAAGTGCAGGAAGTATTTGTCTTTGTTTTTAAAGAAAGAAAAACGGCTTTGAACAGCCGTTTCTGTGAGCCTCCAACAGTCCTGATTACTTTGAAACAAATAATGAATAATTAATAATGCTTTACTTATACAGCACCAGATGCTAGAGTCAAACACAATATGTCGGATGTGTTTCAGACAATGTGGATTTGTTGTACAAATGCTGATTCAGCATTTACACTGGTGTCAACTTTTATTTTTTCAAACAACTTTTGTTTTCCAGCACTACTTCTGCACATTTTGCACTATTGTAGACATTCATAAATGCAGAACGTGGGTACTATAAATTTACTTTTTTGTAACTTTTCTGCCTATCATGCAACTTTTTTTTTTTTACAAATATCTTCCCTGTGGAAATTAAGATCGGTTTTCAAAATCTAGTTAAATTTCAAGTCTGTTCAAGCATACTGGCCCTGTTTTTATTGTCTTATGCTACTGTTAGCATTTACCTAGCATTTGGCTACTTTTTGCTTTTAGCTAACATTTTGCCACTTTTACTATTTTTAGCTTTAATGAAGATTTTGCCACTTTTATAACTAGCCTGTTATACTTTTCAACTAGCCTTTTTCCACTTAGCTTTTAGTTAGCTCTTCACTACTGTGAGCTTTTAGCTACTTTTTTTACAACTTGTAGCTTTTTTGTAGCTTTTTGCCTGTTTGCTACTATTTTCAATATTTGACACACACAATACTTCACAGTGTGCATGTGATCCATGTGCACAGACAGCTCTGGATCATTTTGTGCACATGTATATAAATACATTCAAAAAACCTGTATGAACACGTTCACTCAGATCATTTTGGAAAAGCTACGATGATGTCTGCACAGGTTTTATTAAACCAAGCAGTTTTGTATTTTTTCAACTGCACTGATGATTTTAAGGCCTCATTAAACACATTATTTTAATCATTCACTGATTTATGCTGCTTCTTGCGCAATTTTTAAAACTAGTTGAACATTCTTGTCTTAAACACCTTTATTTTACAGTCTGTATATAATTTAAACTTTAGGGCTCATCTTTGGTTTTGTTTAGTTGTACTCAGTTCTAAAAAAAACCCAAACTCACGTGACTTCGTCTTTCTACGCCCTCTAGAATCCAGAATCCCTGGACCTGTCTATCCAGAGCGCCCTCTCGGCCCTCTTCCCACCTTTTGAGGCAACGGCGCCCATCGTCCTGAGCCAGCTGTTTCGCACCATTGATGAACGATACCACGGCGATGCTCTGCAGTGCCTGCTGGACTTCCTCATTCCCTCCAAACACCTGCTGGAGAGCGTCCAACAGGCTGCATGTGTAAGTGGGAACATGTTAAAAATGACACGTCTGCGTTTATTCAGAATTGTTTCTTCAGTTTCTTACAAGGCACTTTGCATGCATACATTATTTCTTTCTCTAGAAGTACCATAACAAGCAGGAGTTCATTAAAAGGAAGTTCAGTTAAGGCTAATTTATTTCAGACAGGTATTTATTTTAAAAAGGACTCTGCTATTTCTCAAAGAACTCTTGAAAAAATCTAGTTCTTTGGTACAGAACTCAAATAAAGTCTTGATAAAAGGGATGGTTCACATCTTTTGTAGTGGGGTTCTGTTGAAAGGGTGTGAAAAAGTAGTGCGTCCTTCACTTAAAGGACCATTGTTTGAAGAAATGGACCGGAATGATTAAATATAACATGCACTTCCATTGTTATGATGATGACACACATCTTTATTGATTTATGAGACCAGTTGACTCTTATCAACTCCAGGTCTTAAACACATAAAGAGTCAGATTTCTTCAGAACACTGCAGCACGAGTACTGACAGGTTGTTCTCCAAGAGACCATATTTATCCTGTTTTAGCCTCCATGCACTGGCTTTCCATGACCAGCAGAATACCCAAAAAAAAAAAATAATAATAAATCCTTCACATTCACACATCCGTATTATTATTTCCTTTATTTTACCAGGAGAAACTCATTGGAATTAAAAATCTCATTTACAAGAGTGTTCTGGACAAAACAGGCAACAAAACACAAAGTTTCACAAAACAAACTTTAACGACAAGATGTATCATTAAAATAAACAAAAAGCCATGAAATCTTGTAAAATGGGGAACATCTACATTAAATATAAAGCACTGAATGGCTCAGCTCCAGCATGTTAAATTAACTTATTGTCTCTTAAAAATAAACTAGGACACTTCTTTTCCAGCTTGCAGGTCTTTTAGTTTTCCAAGGATCTCTAAAACTAAAATGAGAACTGAAAAAAGTCTCTGTATTCCAGTGTATTAATGATGGTTGTCCTTTTTCTCAGGCCGGCTACTCTGATGTGGTTTTCCGCTGTGAAGGCTGGCCTCTGTGTCTCCATGACAGAACAGTTGTCCAGTTAGCCTCTGTGAACCCTCTTCTGCTGCGTCCTGGCGACTTCTATCTCCAGGTGGAACCTTTTGGTGACCAGGCGGCGCGGATTGTCCTAAAAACCCTTCTGGAGGAAGGATGTCGAGAAGTTGAAGAAACCCCGATCCCCGAGACTTCTTACCCCTGCCTCTTCACTGAGGACTGGCTGCAGGACGTAAACGAGGGACGTCGAGGAACGCCTCTGTCACGCTGTTTGCTTTGCACAGACCAAGGTGTCATCAAGTTGCCTTGGGCTAAAATCGCCACCCCAGAGTTCTTAGACAAGCCCAAAATCCTGCCCACCTGTGACGAAACACCTCCTGAGTCTCGATGGGCCTCAGCGCCTATCCACTTCAACTCGTCCACCCTTCCGGTTGAGGCTGTGGCTCCTTCAACAAAAGACAGGATGTCTGCGTCTCTGAGACACTCTTCTTCCAAGCTTTTGAAAATGGATCAGGAAAGACAAACTCCCAAACCAGTCCCCAAACCATTAATCAAACCTGTGGGTTGGGTTTCTCCAAACACCTGGGAGAGTCTGAACTATCACGAGATAGAGGGGGATTATGTAGACCTGGTGGACATCACCAAAGACAAGGAGTTAGTTGCTAGGCAGAGAGACAGCCATGGAAATTTATCCAACTTAGTTTTAGTCAAACCAGTAAGACTGCCCCCACCTATACCACTTGGAAATACTGTCCCCTGTGGACGCAGCCTTCAGCTTACAGGGGAGCTCTGCATGCCGTGCAGCCACAGAAACCTGGAGCAGGAGCTCACTGATCACTGTCGGTACAGAGACTCTTACGTAGCAGCACTGAGAAATCCAGTCACTTTTGAGAGGGGAAATGTAGACCTTCTGTCTGCCCTGGAAGAGGTGAGGCTGTGTGAGGAGGGGGACGCAGCACCCAGAGGTACATGTGAAGGCCAGAAGAAAGACAACATAAGAAACTTAGGTAACCACTGTGAAAGATCTGTGATAAGCAACAAACCCAGTCAGTTTGAGGGATGCTGTCGTCTTCCTCTTAGTTGTGAAACCAAAAACCTCATGAAGGACTCGTCTATAAGCCTAAAGTCGACCTCTGGTTTGAACCACAGTGACAAATTTCAGACTGCGCTCATTTCCCAGCAATTAGGACACTGTGCGCACCCAGTGTCAGACGTGTCAGCAACAACTTCTGTTGGGGATTCTAAATTACACCACAAAAGGGAGGTTGTAAAACCGTCTGGGAAACACAAAGTTAAAGTGAGGTCTTTGTCCACCGTGTCAGAGACGCCCACAGGGAGTCCGGCTCTCTATAAACTCAGCAACAGGAGCCAAAGTGACGTTTGTCCCGAATCAATCACAAGCATAATTCAACGGGGAACAGGTGCAGAAGTGGATCAGGAGGCTGTAAAGTTGGAAAAACAGAAACGCTGCAAAAAAGGTGAGCAGAGATAAGATATTTATATTTCAGCTTTTTGTTGGTTAATTCTCTTTATATTTCCTTTAAATCTTGATCCACACACACATGCACACATTTTCATCATTATCCTCCCACACAATCGTTTATAATGATCTGCTCTAAGTTTCGCACCACTCAAGCCAAACAGGACTGTGACTGGGAGTTTGAGAGAATGAGCTCCTTTGAGCCTCATAATGACTCTTCAGAGAGATGGTTCAAAAGGTCAGAGATCAGACATTAGCCTGATCTTCCTTCTGCAATTCTCCCACTGCTGTCTGAGTTTGCTGCCAGTTCGGGCGCATTCACGTCATCCCTCTTATCAAGGAAGTGAACGGAAATGACACTCTGCACCCCAGTGGAAGCGAGGGTCTGAAGCCACTGGGTGGAAGAGAAAAGGCGGATCATTCCTTCAATGCAGAGAGACAGAAATTTAAACAAGGAGGACATGTCTCTGTCTTCTTCACTCGATGTGCTTGTCCTCCAAGGACCATGCTGGGACCTTGAGTGGAGACATGCTTGACATGAATTGTCAAAGAGATAGATAGAAACAGACGAGGCTTTGTGGACCCTGAGAGGAGGATAATTAGGATGTCTAAAGTCAAAGAAGTGCTTAGAACCCAGGTATGGAGTGCCATTTGTAAAAGTAAACAGTCCAAAATTAACAGCTATATTTTGGTTTATTTAGCCTTTCATAAGAAAAAAACAGCTTTTTATTTTTCAAAGTCATATTTTCACCATGTTATTCAAACATTTATAAATGTCATTGTTCCAAACTAAATATTTAATTTCTAAACTAAATATTTAGTGTACAAACTAAATACTTAACTTGCAAGTTAAATATTTAGTTACACACTAAATATTTAATTTACAAACAAAATGTTTATGTCCAAACTAAATGTTTAATTTACAAACTAAATATTTAACATGCAAGTTAAATATTTAGTTTGTAAACTAAATGTGTAAGTGTAAATTAAATATTTAATTTACAACCTAAAATGTTTATGTCCATGCTAAATGTTTAATTTGCTAACTAAATATTTAACTTGCAAGTTAAGTATTTATTTAGCAAATTAAATATTTATTTTTGAAGATTAAATGTTTAGTTTGGAAAATAAATATTTAGGTCTGAGCTAAATATTTAGTTAGAAAATTAAATATTTATTTAGGACATTAAATGTTTAACTTGGAAAATAAACATTTAGGTCCGAGCTAAATATTTACTTAGTAAATTAAATGTTTATTTTAGGAATTAAATGTTTAGCTTAGAAATTATATGTTTAATTTGGAAATTAAATACTTAGCTTGGATAATAAATATTTAGTTTGGAAATTAAATATTTAGTTTTGAAAATAAATATTTAGCTTGGAAATTAAGTGTTTAATGTACACCTAAATGTTTAGTTCACTAACTAAATATTTAAAACTAAATATTTAACTTGCAAGTTAAATATTTTGTTTGTAAATGAAACATTTATATTGAATATAAACATTTAGTTTTTAAATTAAGTATTTAGTGTGGAGCCAAATATTTAGCTTGCTAACTAACTATTTAACTTGCAAGTTAAGTATTTAGTTTGTAAACTAAATATTTAGCTATTTATATAAATTATAAATGTATGAATGACATGATGAAAATATAACTTTGGAAAAAAAAAAATTTCTTATGAAAGGCTAAATAAACCAAAATATTGCTGCTAATTTTGGACTGTGTAACTTTACAAACGGCACCCCATACCCACACTGCTGACATGTTTAGTTACAGAAAGTTTTTAAAATGTTAATAGGATGTTTGCTGTGCAGCTGCACATGGTTAGTGCAGCCCGGTGGGGTTAAAAGTTATAAATGAGAACAATAAAAAGGCAAAGATCACTGCAAAAATACAGCATTTATTCATTTTTGGTTATCTTCTTTGCTGTTTTTTTTTTTAGCTCTGCTGGTCTCACGTTTTGACGCAGGCGTTTGTGTCTCCTGACAGATTCACATTCAAACAGAGGTGAAACTCCATCCAACGTCATTGGACCAGGATCCAAACTTCTCCTCTTAAGAACAGAAGATCAGATTACTTCACAAGTTCATCTTCCTGTGACAAGTTCAGACTCTCAGCAGCCCCCACAGACTGAAGAATGTGGTTTCAGGAAGATCAGTGGTCTCCTTGAACTGGGCATCATTTGTTTACCAGGTAATCTGCACTGATTACTCTGCTAGTTACAAAAAGTTATTATTCATTGTTGCAAGAAGAGGAGGTGCTGACTGGGCTGTGGTCCCCTCTAGTGGCTGAGCTCTACTAGTTGTATATGCTATTGTTAGCAAACAGCTGCTGCAGGGACCTGAGAGAATACCAGAATAAAGGAATAGTTCAGCCTTTTTGAAGAAGGGATTTGTGAAAACATTATAAACAGTTAATATATAATGGCTCGCTGAACATCCTTTGGAGAAATAAAGTTTAAGTCTGGCAGAACTAATGATGTAACATCTGAACACAGCTAAGACCAAAGTGAATCTTTTCTCAGCTCTAATACCCAGAAAGCTCAGCTCATGCAAACACTATTTTATAAACCTTTACATCACCATCAATTTTACATTACATGGATATTTACTTAAAATTAGTTATACAGTTGTTCATAACAACATAACTGCACTTCTGATGCTATTTGAGGTCACTTCCTTTTTATAGCCACCATAATAAAATGTCCCATTGCAGTTACTCACTGGTTTCCAGTGTTTATAGGACTTGCATTGCAGTGGCAGTGCAGAAATGATGAGATCTGCAATTGTCTTCACATTGGACATCCCTGCATGTAAACTTAAAAAGCCAATAAAAAAAAAAAAATATATATATATATATATATATATATATATATATATATATATATATATAAAACTGGAAAAAGATCACACTGGGCCAAACTTGCAGTGCCTTTGTGCCTTTTTGAGAAATAAATAACTTTTTCCTTGTCTTGCACGCACACAGGCAGTAGGGACAGGAACGGCAGGGCGGTGGTGGAGATCCACGGAGACAGGAAGGAGTGGATGTCCCCTCTCGTGTCAGCACAGAGCGTCTGTGAATTACTGCTGTACATGCACTCCATGCCAAGGTACAAGGATTTAGTGATGCAGATTAGTCTGAGTTCAGTTTGATCAACATAAGAATAGTGAAGTCAATAAAGTTCAATAAAGCAGATGTTCACTGCCCGTGGACCTTTAGTAAAACATCCAACCACAAGAGGGCAGCAAAATATTGTTCGAAATGTTTTCAGATTCAGAACGCATGCTCCACATGTAGTGTATTGTTCTCTGCAAAAAAAAAATGACTGCAAACAGTTTCTGTATCTACACCCTGATCAGTACTATCATTCTGAACAGAACTGGAAGTACAATGAACGGCTTTAAGTTATTACTGGGTATAATGTAGAGCTTCACATTCAAAAAGTTATTTCTCCGTCTTGACCTCCCAGTGTCACCAGAGCAGACATACCACAGCAGTATGTTGCAGGCAGGCCGGCTGCCAGCTGTCTGGTATGTGGGGCTTTACCAGAATTAGCAGTCATGTCTGATTTAGACTAGTCGAGAAGAGGCCATTAGGAGGTCTGTGCGAAAGCATCGGGGATGTAGAGCAGGGTGCTGAGATGAACAGCTCAAGCCTAAAAGCAGAGTGTTATGATGAAGTGGTCAAGCGCCAGTGCGCCTTAACGCGACCTCATGTTTTAGTAGGAAAGATGTCCGAGAGCTGGGAATGACGCTGGTCGTCAATGCGCGGAAGAAGCCTCCTCCACTTCACCTCTACAAAGCACTGCTGATGGCGCAGGTTAAAACAACACACACACACACACACACACACACACGTTCGGAAAGTTCTGCCTACCAGGATTGGATTAGCCAACAAATAAATGAAAAGTGCAGGAGTTTAGTTTGTTGTGTAAAGTCCCATTAACGCCAGTCTGTTGTAGCTATTTAGTGGACAAGTTCATCACACTGGAGAAAAGTGTTCGCCACATGGAATACAATTAGATTAAATGAAATTAGCGCCAGTCTGTTTTTATTTTGACTTTTTGTCTCTGCCTGACACAGGAACAAGCTCTCCATGCTGTTCACAGCATAGTCATACTGACAGATAAAGACTGTTGTCCACGACCTGAGAAACATCCCGGCCTGCAGGTCATCCATCTTTGATTTTTAAATCAGTTCTAATTGAGCACTACCTCAGAGTGCTACATGCTTGCGTCATGTTTGTTTGTACTGGTGGTTAGATTGACACGGTGACTTCGATAAGAGCCCTGAACAAGACGGTGGAAGCTTCCCAGCTGACCTCTGACCTGGGCGGGACTTTTACCTACAATCACACCGTCTGGCTGCAGTTCCATCAGGTACAGTATTATAGAAACACTCGCCCTGAGTAGAAGCAGGGGCGATTCTAGAATCTGACCTTTAGGGGTGCTCAGCCCCCGGACAATGGCTCTTGTCTTGAACAATGTGGTGGCCAGTGGCATCAGAAGCATTCATAATAGGGGGTGGCACACCCTGATGGGAGTGTTTGAGGGTCCTCCCCGAGAACATTTTGAATAAAGTAGATGCCATTTCCTGCATTCTGGTGTATTTTAACAGATTGTTAAACATTTACGTTTACCGACATAAGTAAACACTCGATTCAATAACTATTTTAGAGTTAATGACACAACAAGAAGTAGCGCTAAGCTAGCAGCGTGCAATACAGACGCGCTAGCTAAGATGCTATAGACGCAACGCTCTGCTTTACATTACACAACCTAACGCTTTGTACAAAATCAGTTTAGTGTTAACTGCTCATAACAAAGATGAAACTTATGTAACCAGAAGTTACAGCATATATTTACATATAAAACACACAAAACAAAGTACAACTAGCCTTAAGCATTAAGCATACCTGCAGTATGAACATGAGGTACTTCCTGTTTATCACCATTGTATTCAGCTGCTCATAAGGTCGGCTGCAGGTTTATCAGCTTTTACATTTTTCCAGACTAAGTTTATGTTTTGGAAATGTAATAAACTGTATTCCACCCTCTAAAGCAGGACTATTCAACTAAACTGCTCAGGGGGCAACAGTTACTGAAAGCAGCAGCTCAGGGACCGGACATCCAGCAGTTAAAGTCATTATGTCAATAAAACAAGTATTACAATGATCTGTGTTACCTTTTAAATTTTTTTTATTATTATTATCATTGCATTGAATTATAAATGCAATAAACAGAACACAAAACCAAGAACTGCCTTTTTTTTTTTTTAAATGAAGTTAAAAAAAAAAAAAAAGTTTATTTTTCAGGGGTGCTGAGTTAAAATTTAAGGATACTTGAGCACCCCCCAAAAAGAGGATAAAATGGCCACTGATTAGTAGTAAAGACACATTATTTCTATAAAGTAAACTAAGTTGCAAATTCAAAATGTTGTATTTTATGATATTAGAATATGCGTACTGTGCGTTATGGTTGGAAAAGATCTTAGAAAAAAAAAATATATATATATACTGTATATATATATATATATATATATATATATATGAATCCAGTGTCTTGAACAAAATGTTTTTCTCAAGTATGGCTGTAAATGCCTTACCAGCATATTTTTCAGATAACCCTTGAACATCTCACACTTCTTAATGTAACGACCTGCACATGTTCTTGTGTTGCTGCTTGCATTCCTGCAGCAGACAGATCACTTTAGTTTATCTCTACATGCACAGAGATAATCCAGCTGCCCTCTGAGGCATGAGCAGACACCCAGGTGAAAAGAAAAGCTGCAAACATCAACTCTTTATTCAGACGTAAGACAAGATTAGTTATACGTGAGTTTTGTGTCTGAGCAAACACACGTTTGTGTTTTGCTCTGCCAGTCCTCTTTTTCATCATTGAACTTTCCAATCCAACAAATAAGTTCATGTTTTTTGGACAAATGCAAAGTTGGTTAGGATTTCTTCAGTGGTCTCTTTAAAGTGTTCCCTCAAGAAAGCAAACTGTCAAAACTAAGTTGTTTCAGCAGCTGAGCATAGAGTTGAAGGATGGGGAAAGTTTGAGAAACATTTCACAATGTTGGCAAAAACTTATTTGGGCTTAATTGTGATAAAGGCTAAAGGATTTTATTTTATACCTGTCAAGGCATTTTTTTTATAGTTGCAAGAACTTGACGTGCCAAACAGCAGATTTAAAATACATAATTTAAAGATAACACAATATTTAAAACCTTAGCTCATCCTATAAGTAGGACACATTTTGTGTACTTGAGCAATTCACAGATTGTGTTACCGGACTTTAAAATGAACATTCCTCTAAAGTAGTTTCTCTCTCTGTCTGTGGAGAAACCTTACTTTGACTCCATCTCCTTCATTTGATCAGTACTCAGTTTACTCAGTTGCTCTTTAGATGGTGTTTAAGAGACAGCAAGGAAGGAGGTGGGCAGGATAAGTAAGTAAAGTTCTTGTTTTACAACAAAAATAAATAAATAAATAGGTTGTACAAGAGCTGGAAAAAAGTGAAACAATACAGGAGCAAAGGGTTGTTGAGGACTTCACTAGAAGCAAATGAAAACCAGGGACGGCGGAGAGAAGATGACAGACATTGAAGGTATCATGATCAGGAAATAAGAACCTGATGTGCAGGGGAAGCAGAGAAGGTAAACTGAAACCACAGAGAATGAATTGAGGGATGAAAACACAAATAATAATCAGATTATGTCATGGAAAACCTTAAGTCAAGACAGAACTTAGAACACAGACAAACTGAAACTATAAACTCTGACACCAGGATGAAAACAAGTAAAACGTGTGAACTTGTTGCAGGCGTTTCGTTTGAGATCAAAATTAAAAAAAATATATATCAAAGACCTTGCTTCTTGACCAGTTCATAAAGGGATGCATATTTCCCACTGCATTGCATGCCAAAGTTTGAAATCGTGCGTGATCTGTTGGTGTTCAGCGTATGTGAGGAGGATGACTCTCAGCTACTTCCAGGCCAAATTTCAAATCAACATTTGATGAACTTGAATCAACTGAAGCCATTTGTCTTTTCGTTGGTTAAAATTTGTCTGATTCCAAATATCCTCAAGATGTATATTCAACGGTTAACTGTTTAGAGTTTCATTAACATCCATCTGGTGTTCTTGAGCGATTTACTGACACACACACACAGACACAGACACACACACACACACACACACACACACACACACACACAGAAGAGATTACACAGTCGCTCGCCTTTTATGGAGGCTAAATGAGACATGGTTGGAACATGTGCAGTTTCATGCAGTTCCCTAAAAAAAACAATTGAGAAATAGTGTACTTAACTAATGGTGCTTCATGTGTATAAGCGCCTCTCTTTTCTGTTCAGTCTGTCGACTTACAGTTTGTGTGCATCATGTTTTGTGTTTACATCCTTTCAGAAACTAATGTGTTTCATGGCCGACCTGCGAGGAGCCAACAGTCTGCTGCAAAATGCCATCAAGAAACTGGATAGCAACAAACAGCTGGACACTGCTCAGGTTAGATGTGTTCAGGTTGAGACGATGGTCTGTTGTGGTGCACGTTTCACACTCTGACTCCTTGTTGCTTTGCTCCTGCAGGAGGTGCAGCAGAGCATACAGGAACAAAGGGTTTTGATGAAGGAGGTGCTGGAAGATGCTGGACTGGTAACTCTGCAAAAGGAAGGAGGAACGCTACTGGCCAGGATGAAAAAAGAAGAGTTCAAATTTCCCCAGTCAGAGGACTACAGGTGTTTTATTGTGTTTATAATTATTTTTTTCCTGTTTTAAATAAGCATGCAGTGATTAATAAAAGGCAAGTGACAACATGGTTCTGTTTAATGCAGAACTGACGGAAAAAGTCTTGAGTCATCACTGATTATTTCTTTTTTCTTTAGCGTTGTGTCAGCAGATAACAAATAAGGTGACAAAACTATAATTCTTAGGGATTTTATTACACAACACAACATATAACTATTTAATCAGCAGAATTTATTAAAAAATGCCTACATTCATACAGTTTGACACACAAAATATAAATTTTGTTCCAACAAGAAGGCTGAAAATGTCACACATGAGCAATCATGCATCTCTCAGGTCCTGTGTCAGGTCTGATTTCTATTCACATGGTCAATTCAGTGCCATAATGGCCTTGACTTTTTTCAGATTTTAGACTCTAAAATCAGATGTGAGGTTGATGTAACTGTAGAAATCACATGCCACCAACATTTATGGACATTTCTATTAGAAAAAGGAAGAGTGGTGGATTTGTTTCAACCCACAATTGATACAGTAAAACAAACCCAAATGGCATGTAGGAGAGCTTACACAAGAAGCTCAGTTCCACCCTCACAGCTCTTATGAAATGCTGACTGTAAATGTGACAGCTGTGTGAAAACATCTGTGTGGGTGCACGGAGCACACACACTAGACTGCACTTACAGAATATGACTACTTTACACAGTTTGATTCTGTCCGTCCGTCCGTCCATCGAATGATTGATCAATCAAGTGATCCATCGATCGCAGCAAAAGGCTAGCCTGAAGCTAAAGTTACAAAAGGGTAGCTGAAATTTTAAAGCATCACAAAATTGCCAAAAAGCTAAAGTAGTAAAGGCTGTTTTAAAGCTAAAAGTAGCAAAAAGCTAGCCAGAAACAGCAAATGTTAACCAGAAATGTAGCGTAGAAAAGGGCTAGCTTATAGTAGCAAAATGCTAAAAGCTATTGTAAAAGTAGCATAAGCTAAAAACTAGACATAGACTGTGAAGACAAAAATGAGAGCAGGTCTGCTGACAAGATCTAAATGAATTTCTGTGGAAGTTTTTTTTTTTAAGGTAATTATATAGAAGATTATAAATGTTACAGAAAACAAAAGTCATAGCACCATGCCAATCTGAACTGATGGAGATGGCAGAACCAACTGAATGACTAAAACAGCACAAAGTTTACAGAAGTAGTTAGATTACAAAAAATATACTTAAAGATACTTTCAACTTACACAACATGAATGCTGAATCATCCATTTGCTCCTTAATGCACAATTTCAAAAGTTGCCCTTCAGATTGGGATTCAGTGTTAGCATTTTTGGTCACCCTTTTGTCTGTTTTTTTATTTTTATTTTTATTTGTGTGTGTGTAGAGATGCTTTGGAGTCTGTGACAAGTCTGTACAATCAGGTGGAGGAGAAGCTTCACACACTGGTGATGAGATCCAATGAGTCCCTGCAGCAGCTGGAGTTCCTCCTTAAACTCAGGGAGATGGAAGCTAAAATCATCTCGGTACCCTTGGTTCTTTCATCCTTATCACTACTGTTTTGAACACACACACACACACACACACAATCACACACACACCTAAAGCCCACTGGTGAAACGTTGTGGTTATGAATGCTGGTCTGCTTTTATCCACATGTTACTGTTTCTCATTAATGGCCTGTTGAGTCCAAAGCCGGTCACACTCTGCATCACTTCTACTCTCTGTGTTGCAGGCAGGGATGTGGTTCAGCTCAGAAGGTGAACAAAGCCTGGAGAAGAACTCTTACACAACTAATGACTCTGAGGTGCGCACTGAAAAGGTGTTGCAGGACTTTAGTCTATTTCTCATTGAATCCAAGGTATGATAAAACGTTGCATGTTAAATATCCATATTTTTGCCCAATGTTGCCACTTGTTGAAAATGTTTTTGCATGAACACAGTACGTGTTAAAAATTACACATTTGCAACACCTTATTTGCTTTAGGGAAAGCAACAGCATGCCCTGAGCCTGGTGACAGAGGCAGAGAAGCTTGTTGGAAACTGCAGCTCCAGTCCGGCAACAGAAATCTTTCGGACACTTGTCGGCACCTTCAGATCTAATGTAGAAGACTTTATGGTGCGCACAGAGCAGAAGAAGAAGGAACTGGATCCACTGGTGCAAATGTACAGCTTTTGTGAAAAGGTTTGTTTCAGTAAAGCATGTTCCTGTTTTTAATCCTTTTCCTTCTCTGCTCAAGTGACTCCGGATTTAAGTTTGTTATATTTCCCTCGCTCTGTCTAGGTGATCGCCTTGACCAAGGAATGCAGCAACTTCTTAATGCAGGCAGACGACGGGTGTCTGTCAGCTGAGACACTAAGCACGCTCCAAATGTACCAAGAAAGGTTTGACGGTGAATTTTCCACCCGGCGCTTCCAGGCTCTGAAAGCGAAAGCCTGCGCCATGGGAGCGGGGGCCCCTCGAGTGATTGGAGTGTGGAATGCAGCCTGGGTCCAGAGCCAAGAAGTTAAGCAGCAACTTGAGGAGATGCAGAAGAAGAAAGGCGTAGATAGGAAGCAGATCCAGCAGACCACAGCTGCAACCCCTCTGGCGAAACACAGAGAAGCAAAGAGGGAGGGGGAGAGGAGTGAGCTGGGGGAGGCTGAGTGCTCTCTGATGCTCTCTCAGAAGGAAAGTCCAAAGGAAAGTTTCAATGCTGCGTGCTGCACGGACAACAATAAAACCCAATTCAAAGAGAGCAAAAACCAAGAATCCAATTTGCAAACACGAGCTGAAAACGCACCAGAGTCTCCCGTTTTGCCACAAATTGGCCACTGCCTTCCAGAAAACAACTGGAGGCCAAGAGAGCACCGCAGCAAGGCAGATCTGAGGAGTTTAAACTCCACAAAAGACGGGGAGAAGTTTCCATTGCACCGACATTTGGGCCGGTCTCTAAGTGAGGGCATGTGTGCGATAAACCCCTCTGACCTTTCACCTCATAACAAAAGTCATAAACACTGTCACAGCAAGAGACACTCACTGGATCAAACTCTGCAGCCCACCCAAAATCTGTACATGGGTCATCGTGAGAATTTATTGCCGGAGAACCTGAACTGTGAGTCGAAAAGAGAAGAGGAGGAGGGGGGATGTGTGGTTCCTGCTAAGAACCCTGAGGAGACAGAGATGCTACTCACACCAACCGAAAGCAACGACAATGTTTTGTAAGTAATCCTGCTTCCAACTGGGGCTTAATGAAAGAATGAAAAACATAAATTTGTATTTAACACTAGAATATTTCAGAAGAAATTCTGAAGGGCAGTTATATTCTGACATGCTCAGAGAAGATGCCTGCAGTTTGCTGAACTAAGTCAGGAGCATAGAGAACCAACATACTGTAAAAAAATTATGTTAAAGCTGCTGCCAGTGGCTCATTATGGTCACCCTGGTAACCATGCCCCTGTGTCTCTCACTCCCTGACCACCAAGTTAATGAGAGCCAAGAAGAAAAGGACTGGAAACTAGGCTGAACTAAACAGTCACTGTACAAAAACTACAAATCTGACCTGTTAAACTTCTGATCAGCAAGCAGAAGACTGATGGTTGCACATGTGAGTTTCTATGTTTCTACATGGTTTTAGCAAAGTACAGCAAAATTACATTTCAGTACAGCCCGTCTGAGAGAAACATAAACAAACAAACATGGGGAGACGGAGGAGACTGAGGCCGCCGGCCTCGAGAGGCGCAGCCTTTTTTTCAGATAAGGAAAAGAAACACGAGGGGGAGTGGGGGTGTAAAACAAAATCAAATCACACACTGTGTCCTAGACGGGACACAGTGTGAGAGTTGAAAAAAAAAAGACCTCAGCACATAAACAGCAACATAGTGATGACATCATAATACATCATAATACATGCATTGATGCATGAGGAGGCCGACAAGGGCAGTAAGTTGTCCATAGAGACTGCTAGAAAGTTCCATAGTCCTGATAAAGATGGCGCAGTGTCTATCAACCAGATCAACCTTGACACAGATCCACAGATGTCCTTGAGAGGGGAGCGATGGGGGGCGGAGCTTCTCATTCACATAAACAACCAGGAGAAGTTGAGATAGCTGGCCAATTCAAGGCCGAGTGGGGAAGCCAAACTCAGATAACACAATTATTTTGGGTCAGGCAGCCTCTGCTTGAATTTCCATGTCTGCCTTCATAGTTCTGCTGGTACGTCTCACTGGCGATTCCAAAGAGCCAAGTTTTGTGGTCACACTGCCAGACCATGGTTGTAGCCTTCTCCAAGGTCGATTCCTTCCTGCCAGTGAGTTCCAGAAGCTGCAAGTGGCCTGCGATTCTCAGAAATCGCATCCAAATTATGGCTCAGCTCATGCAACATCTGAGTCTGAGAGTTTACCGCTCAGTACATTCCTTCATACAAGGCAGGCAGTCTTACAATTGCCAGAACCGCTGCCACCATCTTCTGAATTTGTCAATGTGCCAACACCAAAAACAAAAACAACGAAAAAAAAACAGAAATCTGGTTATCATAAATCCAATTATGTATGCGGCTTCTACGTCTTCAATGGACAATACAGACAGAGACATCATCTTCCACTGACCCCAGGAATCCAAAGTGTATCCAGCTGTGAGTGTACCTTCAGGGCAAGAGGGCTCTCTTTCGTCCTGTCCTCTCGTCAAGCAAATGTTATCAACTGCGTTGAGAGACCAGCTGAGCAGATCCATTTTTTACAATTCGGAGGATATGTAGTGAGAGGCTCCAATAGGAATCACAAGACAAAGAGCAAAGCAGGAGGGAGGGAGGAGCAGGAGGGAAAAGCATCCGTCCTCATCGAGAGCAAGCTGGGAAAAAAGGAGAATATTTGGAGAATTTTTTTGTTGAATTTACAGAAGCTTAGGTGACAGATACACTGGATAAAAGAAGTCAAAAATGACCTAATTTTGATGTATAATTTGTACACAAAGAAAACTGTAGAAGCAAGAAGAGTTAGTTTGCTACAGATGTGAACGTTTTAGACAAATCAAATATTAGTGTCATCCTCAGTTTTCAGTTGAACATTCTGTAGAAAAATCTGATAAAAATAATAAAACTTAAATGTGATTGTGTAAAAAAAAAAAGTAAATCAAAATGGCAGTTCTTGCAAAGCCTATCTTTCAGTGAATTGATTAAACTTTAATGATGTGTCTGTGATGAAGTCTACCTGGGCTGAAGAGCTCCAAGTTTTCTCATGTTTTCAGCTAAAATCTCACAGATTTGTAGGTTTTTTTCTTGCAGTTTTAGTGAATTTTGCCTCCTTTGTGTGATGAACTGTTACCAACAATCATAGTGCACTATTTCAGATGGAGCCACACATCGTTTGCTTTTTCCCTCCTTTTTTCTATGGTATGGCAAGCTGCAGGTTCCCAACCCTGATGCTTGAGGAACACCATCCTGCATGTTTTAGTTGTTTCTCTGCTCCGACACACCCGCTTTTAATAAATGGGTGATTTACAGTCTTTTACAGAACATGAGGAAGTAATTAAATCACTGAATCAGGTGTGTTGGAGCAGAGAAAAAACTAAAACAAGCAGGATGGTGTTCCTCAAGGACCATGGTTGGGAACCACTGAGCTCGAGGACAAAATATGTAAAAATGGTTCTTTAATGTTTCTGCAACGACACTTTGAAATATATAAAAACTACATGTTGCTCAACTGATACACACTGTTAAACAAATAGCATGATTCTGTGCTCATCTGTGCTTAGTTAGCAGATTTATTAAAACAATAATAATAATTCAGCATGTTTCCTACACGTGGAGCAGGAGAGTGCAGAAGATCCTTGAGGAGCTGCTGTCCACAGAGAGGGAGTACGTCAAAGCTCTGGGTTATGTCCGAGAGCACTACTTCCCCGAGCTGGAGAGAGCAGACGTCCCTCAGGACCTCAGGGGACAGAGGGGGAGCATCTTCGGGAACTTAGAAAAGCTGCATGACTTTCACCGCCACCACTTCCTGGAAGAGCTGGAGAGCTGCGTCGTCGAGCCGTTCAGAGTGGGACGCAGCTTTCTGCGTCACGTAAGCACCTTCAGAGTTTCAGTTGAAATTATTCCAGTGTGCACTGAGGCTAAAACATAAAGCAGAAACATAAGATACGTACAAGACAGAGCTGTTATTGTTTGTCTAAAACCACTAAGCTTTGCATCCAATTTTCTGTAATTTCACGTTAATGTCCGTATTTGATTTGAAACCGTGATAAAGAAGTTTAATCAATTGAAAAGAAAGCTTCCAGATGTTTCTTAACATCTGGATGATGCGTCTTTAGCTTTCAACACTTTTATTTTGTTTGTTTTTACCAGCAACTAAATGGCTGGATTAACTGAACCAATACCAGATTAATAACTTAGTCCACACTTTCTGCATACTTGACATTTTACAGTATTTATGTCTCACTTCGAGGTTTTAATGATGATGATGGACGGTGTTTATTTATTCCCTTTATTTCCAGAGAGAGAGCTTTGCTTTGTATGCCCTTTACAGCAAGAACAAACCACAGTCGGACCGTCTTCTCATCAATCACGGGAAGATTTTTTTCAAGGTGAGAAGCACCTCCAGCCTCGATCTTTTTGTCTCATAAGTCTTCTCAAAACCAGTGAGTGAAGTTCCCACAGTGGAGAAAAATTGTGCTAAAGTTCACATTTCTGTTCAAATCATTATGTATATTGTAGATTGACTAATAAACTAATGTACTGTTAAAGAATATTGGATACACACATTATTTTTTAGTTGAGAGCTTTTTCAGGATTTTCAAAAATACATTTAAAATGGTAAATAGTAAATAGACTGTACTTATATAGCACCTTTCTATCTGATCAAGATAGTCAAGCACTTTATACTACAATCTGTGCCCTCATTTACCCATTCATACAGCACTCTATACAAGGTTAATCAGTGCCTTAGATCACATTCATACATGGATGGGACACATCAGATGCAATGAGGGGTTCAGTGTCTCGCCCAGGGACACTTCATCATGTGACTGCTGCTTTACAGACGTAAACCATAAATTTACATTCATTCAGTAAAATCATAGCAAAGAGCTATAACTGTAAATAAATATAAATTTTGTAAGATGATATTAATATAAAAGGATAGTTAAAATACATTTTCAGATTGAGATCAGACAGTATAACTGCTAAAGAAACAAAAAAAAGTGTGTGCACTTAAAAGACCCTTCCTCCTCTGTAAAAACACGAGTTTAGTCACTTTTTCCAAACATCTTTCCAACACAAAACGCACCCCAGCACCTAATGTGATTCTCCACCTCCTGACATCAGTGCTCTGTTTGTCTCTGCTGTTGTTTCAGCAAAAGCAGCAGAAGCTGGGGGACAAGATGGACTTGTGGTCCTACTTGCTGAAGCCTGTGCAGCGCATCAGTAAGTACAGCTTGCTGCTGCAGGACGTGATGAGGGAGTGTGGACCAGAACAACTCAGAGAGATTTCTGAGATCAAGGCAGCGCTGGAGGTCATCCACTTCCAGCTTCACCATGGCAACAACCTGCTGGCCATGGACGCCATCCGCAACTGTGATGTAAGCATCAACCCTTAACAGTTGCTTTAGCTTAGAGTCAGCAAAATATCAAGATAACCTTTAAAGTGGTTTAAATGATAGGAAGCCTAACCCAGTACTGAATAATGTAATGATTAATGTTTTCAGAACTTTTTAGTCCGCACCAGATTGTGTGGTGGGGAGTAAAGACATGAGATGGAAGGGGATGAGGAAGAAAAGATAAATCTTTATATTTCTACACGTTTCCAGGACATTTAAAGGGGAGTTTCTGTGTGAAGAAATAGTCTAAATCTATTATTTGATAAGCCAAAATGAAAACTGATTGGAGTTAGAGATATTTTGTCTCATTTGATGACCAACAGATGGTTTCTGTTAAAGTTATGAGTTCAGTGTTCTTTTGTTCACAGTGTTCATGTTCTGCAGCTGGATGAACCCAGTCAGCTGAAATAAACATTTATGTAATGAGAAGCTTTTTTTTTTCTGACTGCAGCTCTGTCACTGACCTCTGACCTCTTTTGTGTGACCGCAGGTCAATCTGAAAGAGCAGGGTCAGCTCATACGTCAGGACGAGTTCCTGGTGACTTTCAGGAAGAAGAAGTGCTTTCGCCACGTTTTTCTCTTTCAAGAACTCATCCTCTTTAGCAAGACCAGAAAAACCGACGTAGGAAATGACACATATGTCTATAAGCAATCCTTCAAGGTGCGCTCACTGCAGTTCTGGCTCTCTCACTCACACACAACTTTCCACAGTGAGTCGCCTCTGCAGCGTCCTGTTTACATCACACACTCACAGGGAAGCACATAATTTTACTGTAGAGCTAAGACAAAAACAAAGTAGCATTTGATTTACACATTAAAAATAGGTTATTGCTTCATTTTCAACACGCTTTCTGCAGAGTCATTTTTCTCCTTTTACTGGGGACTGCCATGCAAGTGCATGACAACCTATTATTCTACACCTCGTAAGTGAGTCTACGTTTCTATCTCCGTTAATGCGGCCCGAACCACAATGTCTACCCCCACAAAAGTTATATCAAAACGACCTGCACGGCCCCGTGATGTGTGCTATTACTTTTATTGGCATTTCGAGTTACCATGGCGACGTATTTTGCTAACAAAGATGTCAAATTTCCCATAGGAAATGAATAGAAAAAAACTTTTCAAAGAAACTGAGTAACATATGGAGACATTTTGGTTCAACATGCAAGGAAGGCAGTGCATTATGCAATGCATGGAAGGCACCTATTATTACCTATTGTCATTATTAATTAGTAAAAATAATAATTAACAGCAATTATGATTAATTTTAATAAATATAAATAACTATGAATATTAATATTTAATATTAATTATGAATATTGGCCATGATAATTATTAATAACATTAATAAATTAATAATATATTAATATTAACAATTACTAAGTGGTATTAATTATTGATATTATTAATTATTAATGTTAATATTTATTATTAATAAGAATTTAATAATAAATAGGCAGTCCCCATCAAAGTTTCTCCATGAACTTTCTAGTTTTATTTAATTCTAATGTAGCAACATCATATAAAATTGATATATAAAGTATTTATTGGTCAAATCTGAATGAGTGATATGTTGGCACTTGAAGTGTGTGTTGAGGATGACTCTCAGATACTTCCACACCAAATTTAGCTCTACATCTGTAAAACTGACTGAGAAAGTAATTTTTGTGTTGAATAAGTTCGAGTAGTTGTGGCGGTCATCTTAATTTGGCGTCACTCCAAAAATTAATTGGCTGTATGTACATTCAGTGATTATTTTCCAAGACTTTTACTAAAATACATCTATTGGTTCATTAGATATTTTGCTAACAGACAGTGTTAGTCACCAGGTAGTCTTAAAGTCATGTAGAGAATGATGCTCAGCTGCTACCACAGTAAGGTTTAGCTAAATATCTGTACAATTTCACATGTCATAGTTATTTTGTGTTGCTTTAAGTCAATTAGCTGTGGCTGCAACCTTGAAGCAAATGTACCAAACTCAGGGAACCAAAATAATAATTTAAAAAAATGGTTCAAACCAAGGGCCAGTTTAACTCCAGTTAGACGCCTGACATCTTTTCTTGGCTTCAGGGTGGAGTTGCATTCGGGCCTAAAAATCAACCCGTTTAAATTCTTTTCAGCCCAACCCATAACCTGTAATTAGAGACCCAAACCCCAAATATATATATATATA